AAAGGCGCGTCTGAAAGGTAAATTGGCAGATGCTCCTGACATACACCAATGTCCTACTTAAAGGATGACACAGGAACTCTGACAAAAGCTATTTTGAAGTTTGAACCAAGGCTGCAATGAGATCAAAAGCTGACTGGCCCTGATCAAACCCAAACTGGGCAGCACTGAACAGGTTATTGCTGAGCAGATGCTGCTTGACAGCACTATTGATGGCACCTTCCATCACTTTACTGATGGTCGAGAGTACACAGATGTGGCAATAATTGTCTGGGTTGTATTTGTCCTGTGTGCACAGAAATATACATGGGCAATTTTCTGCATTATTAGGTAGATGCCAGTGTTGTAACTGTACTGGAAGAGCTTGACAGTAGAGTAACATGTTCTGGAAAACAAGTCTTCAGTACTCTGGCCGGAATGTTGTCGGGGCTCAAAGCCTTCACAGTACCGGCACCTCCACTGTTTCTTGATATCATGTAGAGTGAGTCAAATTGGCCAAAAACTGGTATCTGTGGTGCTGGGGACCACTGGAGGAGGCCAAGATGGATCATCCACTCGGCACTTCTAGCTGAAGATTGCTGAGAATACTTCAGCCTTAATTTTTGCACTGATGCATTGGTGTCCCATGATTAAGGATGAGGATACTTGTGGAGCCTCTTCCTCCAGAGAATTGTTTAATTGTCCACTATCATTCATGGCTGGATGTGGCAAAACTGCAGTGCTTAGATCTGATCTGTTGGCTGTGGGATTGCTTAGCTCTGTCTATGACTTGCTGCATTTGCTGTTTGGCATGCAAGTAGTCATTTGGTAGCTTCACCAGGTTGATGCCTCGTCTTCAGTTATGCCTGGTGCTACTCCTGGCATGCCCTCCTGCACTCTCCATTCAACCAGGATCGATCCCCGAACTTGATGGTAACGGTCGAGTGGGGGAGATGCCAGACCATAAAGTTGCAGATTGTGCTGGAGTACATTCTGCTGCTGTAGATGGCCCATGAACCTCATGGATGCTCAGTCTTGACTTGCTCGATCTGTTAGAAATCAGTTCTATTTTGCATGGTGATAAACAATGATGGAGGTTATTGTCAATGTGAAGATGGGACTTTGCCTCCACAAGGATTGTGCGGAGGTCACTCTTACTAACACTAATCACTGAATCCCTATAGCATGGAAGCAGGCCCTTCAATCCATCAAGTCCACTGTCCAAAGACCCACCTCACTACCCTATCTGCGCCCCTGCACACTATGGCCATGCTAAATTACCCAATCGACCTAACCTGCACATCTTTGAACTGTGGGAGGAAACCAGAGCACCACTGGATAACCTATGCAGACACAGGGACATTGTGCAAAGTCCGCACAGACAGTTGCCCAAGGAATTGAACCTGGGTCCCTGGCGCCATGAGGCAGCAGTGCTAACCACTGAGCCACTGAGCCACTGTGCCACCCACAAACACTGTTGCGGACAGATGCATCTGCAGTCAGATTAATAAGGCAAGGTCAAATATGTTCCCTCTTGTTGGTTCCCTCACCACCTGCTGCAGGTCCAGTTATGTACTTTAAGGTCAGACCAGCTCGATCAGCAAACATTGAAATCCCCCATCCCGGAGTTCATTTTTTTCCCCCGTCACCCTCAGTGCTTCCATGTTATTCAGTGTACAGGAGTACAGATTCATCAGTCAAGGGAGAAAGGCATGTGGTAATCAGCAAGAGGTTTGCTTGCCCATATTTAACCTGAAGCAATAAGACTTCATGGAATCTGAAGTTGATATTAAGGATGCCCAGAACAACTCGCTCCCAATTATATACCACTCTGCTGGCTCTGTCCTGGCAGGGGGACAGGACAAATGCAGGGTTGGTGATGGCGACATCTAGACATGGTCATACTCATGGAATCATATCTTAGAGAAAATATCAGGCTGATTCTTGACTAGTCTGTAAGACAGCTCTCCCAATTTTGGCACTAGCCCCCAGGTGTAGGTAAGGAAAAATTTGCAGGGTTGACAGGCTGCCTCTCCCATTGTCTTTTCCGTTGCCAAGGTCAATGCCAGGTGATCCATCTGGTTTCATTTCTTTGTTGAGATTTTGTAGCAATTGATATGACTGAGTGCCTTGCTAAGCCATGTGTGTTCAGATCTGTGCTCACTTAAAACAGTTTAGGATAAAGGAAAATTGATATATTTCAGAATGATAACTATACAATAACTGAAATACATGAGATTACAGGGTCTATTCCTTTTCAGTGTTCCCTCAAATTCAGGCAATAAATAAAGTAATTCAACATGAGAAATTGAAGCACAATGTATTAGCAATGCACATTCAGCACTTGAAAAAGAAAGATTAGCATTTTGGGTGTGATCCTTTGGCAGCAGTCTGATGGAAGGCCGCACTTCAACCCATAACCGATTGGCTTGCTGTGTACATCCTGTTTCTACTTATTTGTTCCAACCATGGCTGAGCATCCATGTGAGCATATATGGTAAGAGTATAAGCTTACAAAAAATCCAAGACATCGATATTGAATTAATTGCAACTGTAGCAGAATTCAGTCACCAGTAAACAAAACAGTTCATGTATAGCATTGCACAATGACATCAGATAGTCCAATGAGGAAGTTCTTATAATGGCAGACAGGTGGGTTCAATCTTAAGAAAAATCTAACTTCCATTTAATGATGCCAGTGGCCCTCAACTCCCCTTATTAACATTACTTTGTTGTTATTTCATTGATGTGTAGGATATGCATGACGGATTTTAACATATTACTCAGTGGAAAAAGACAGGCTTTTCATGTTGAACACATAACCTTCCCAACCATCTTAACTAATCAAAGAATTTGCTAGTCAGAGGAGTTGCACTCTGAATCAAAGATGATGTCTGAAGATCCATCTGAAGATTTTTGGCCCCCATTTTGACCGACTGATATGTGGATTATCAGATAGGGACTGAGAGGAATCTTATGCTATTGCAAATTGCAAGAGATGTCTGGTTTGTTTGGATAGAGTCAAATGCCAATGTTTGCTGTTTCCTTGATATGCTATAAAAGAAACTGAACTGCATTTGTGACAATGTATATATTAAAATTATATTTATGAATAAAGTATATTTTGGAAATAATAAAACATCTTGGGATCTCAGTTCAAAGCTGAGAAAATCTCCTTCAGATACAAGATTATTTATTGTGCAGAAAGTTTATGTCAAGTCAAATATTCTAATATACATTTGTTTGTGGTTCTATGTAATTGTTTCAATCTAATCAAGTGTTGTTTGCCATCCTTTGAACTATACCAAAAAGACAGAGACACACCACTTGGACTCTGGTGCTTAACATGTTAAGCACCAATCAATAGTTTATTGGCATTTTTATGTCACATACAAAGAGTTAATTTCAGTCTTTGGAAAATACAGGACTCTTAATAGAAAAATTCTTGTTTTCCAGGAACACAAGTGTTGGGAAGAAGTTTAAATTGCAACAATTGAACTTCTGATTTTCTCTACAAACCTGCAGGATCATTGAACAGATTTGGTTTCGATTTTGACCCAGAAGTGGCAACAGCAATTGAGAACTGGTTGGGCAAGAACCTTCCAGCAATAATTTTACTGAAAAATTTGCCTTGGGCACAAGTTCATATTTCACTGCCCAGGTATGTTATTGGATAGAATTTCTTGCATTAGCTGAGTCCCTATATCATTTGTAACTGTATGCCAGACACAAATCATCCATTTTAATGCAAATTATAGACCTCTACAAGGTAGATAAATTATTTCAGAATTTACAGCTTGTTAGTGTTATAAGAAGGTTAAAAGTGTTGTCTATGCCTGCCTGGTGGGAAAATACTTCTGGGAACACTTCACAAAAGCCAGCTGTAGTTCCCACAAGGAAATGACTCATCTGTCTTGAGGCTGAATGCTTGTAGACAAAAATAACGTGATTATTTAAGCAGACCTATTATGCTAACCTCACTGCCTAAGAAATTATAGTCGATGCCAAGCTCTCTGCAGTGATATAAATTTCTAATATTGTTCACCTGGCTGAATCACACCTCGACACATTGCTCATGTTAATTGGATTTCCTCTAGGTCTTGTTTATGAGACCAGCTGTCCCAGCGTGGTCTGGAGCTAGGTACACTTGGCCAGATTTTTGCCGGTAGTCCAAGGCAGGAAGTCTCCCAACTCAGCACACCCAATTCTGAAAATAAAAGAGCCTGGTTTACCTGCAGCAAAACTGGACCAGAGGGGACAATTCGATGCTGGAAGCTGATTGGACACCAATGACCGAGGACTGCTGAAGCGAGTTGTTTAAAAACACCTGTCTCAATATTCTGCCATTTCAATTATTTTGTTAAACACGAGACACTCTTACTCTTGACTCGCCACCCATTCTCACCCCTCTAACCATTCCACATGCACATCCATGGCAACTCATGACAGCCCATCCACCCCAACAGTGCCTCTTAATCTACATGGCCTGTTACCCTCATCCATCCTCATTGTCCCATGCTACCTACAACCAATTCATACCACACACCACCACCATTTGCCCTTACACCATTAATGCCAACTAATTCAGTATCCACCATGGGCTGACCTCAGCAACCATGCTGAGATTCAGTAAAATAAAGGCTTACATATTGGTGACTTACTCCACCATATAAAACAACAGCGACACTAATGTAAGCCTATTCAATCTATTTAAATCTCTTCAAGTACTTAATCCTGTATAAAAACAAACATGAGTATACATGACCTGATGTCAAAAATATCTTGTCATTTTTATATAACTATAAGCTGTCAATCACACTGTGACTCACAACCACCTCAACTATGATAATAAGGTTGTGGAAAACAGCTAAACATTAATAAAGCAATAATGATAGTACTAGTGGTTATGTCAACAAAGGGTATTAGCTATTAAAAATATGGAACCGTTCTTTCTCCAACTCTCAGACACAGACAGGAAGTTTTTTTCTAATTTTCAAACGGCTGAACCTTCAAGTAAGTTGCAAGTTCTACGTATTTTATCCCATTTATGACTTCTCTAAGGAATCATAACTCTCACAGTGTGGGATAAGGACATTGTCTAGTGAAAATTGTGCCTGTTTGTACTCAGCAAAGAGTTCAAATGATCTTTCAGAGTTCAGCTTTTCCACATATTCCCATCTGCCATTTTTAGATGTCCCTAGAGTCTCCCTGAGTCCACAACCATCTGTTCCATGGTCTCTATCAGGTGTTAAAGCCAGATCCTTGCTCCTGCTGAAACATCTGGCTTTCACTGCAACAAGTGTTGCACAGCAGGTTAGCTTTGATTAACTGAGCGGTGAACACGAACAACAGCACAAAAGTAAAGTAAGTTTCTACTCAGGTCATAGATTTAAAGCCATCAGCCTCGAACATTGTTTTTCGCTCTTCACTGATGTTAGAATCATAGAATCCCTCCCTACAGTGTGGAAACAGGCCCATCAGCCCAACAAGTCCATACCAACCCTTAGAGCATCCCATCTTGGCCCATCCTCCTATATCCCACCTAGTCTACACATTCCTGCACACTACGGGCAATTTAGCATGGCCAATCCACCTAGCCTGCACATCTTTGGATTGTTGGCTGAATGTTGAGTTCATTATTTAACAAAACACAATATTTTGTATTGTGTCAGTAGCTTTATCCTTCAATTATCTTTTCTACATGAATATAAAGGTCTAAAAGAGTTAATATTGAGGACTACCATAGCACCAACAATGATGGTGCCATATAGGTGGGATCACACCAAGATCCCACTTTCGGATCTTGAAGGAGTAAGGCCCGCAAACTGTGGTCCTCCTCAGTCTCTGTAGCAATATCTATCACATCAATATATGTTGTACCTAGTTGCTAAGATGCAATAAACTACATTTTCTTTAACACAAGAGCCTCTTCTTAGTAAATGAGCAAGTTGCTTTCCTCTACCACAGCAGAGGAAGTGGACCTTGTAGATCCCCGCCCTAAAAGAGAACAATGGCAGCAATTCTACCCCAAGGTGAGAATAGGGCAGGCAGCCTCATACAACAAGATGGTCGGTGAGAATTTCTCACACAACATTGACCAAGGTTTTCCATTAGCCCAATAGTCGCTGTTCCAATATAGATGGGAATTGCATCTGGGGACCCCGAGAAATGCCAGAGCGGACTCCGAAGCATTTGCCTGGGACCTTGAATGTTCCACTGATCAATTCCTTCACACCTATAACCACTGAAAATCTCAATTCAAATCAGAGAATCTGGAATGTCCTGATGAGAAGAAGTTAAATAGTTACTCGTGAGAAGTTAAATGCATAGTCTAACTCCTAACAGTTCCCACATTTACTGTCAAATCACAGCTATACCACCTCCAGACCCCTTACACTCTAGACCGTGGCCCAACCTTCCCCTTTTCCCACCACTAGAGCCAACTGCAAGACCTGGCCTGACCACTCTCCATCCAACAGACCAGATCTGACCCCACCCTCCCCATCCCCAATTGCTGCCAGATCCGACACCTGGCCAGATCCAATTTCTCAGCCAGAGTTGACACCCACCCTCCTCACTGGAGATGTCTCCCACCCATCCCAACCTACTCTAAACATGACATCACTTACCTGGTTCCCATGCCACCTGACATCCTGGCCCCTACTAATCTGGAACACTGCACCCTATCCAGCTAGCATTTGACTTAACTTCCCATTTGGTATTCCACACCCCTGTCCCACTGGCACTCTCCCTGCCTAGCACCCTACCCTCCCACTTACTTTGCATATATACCATTTGATAACAGATGTCAAAGTGGTTGTCAGGACTTTGACATTTGCAAATACAACAGGCGACTGCTGTGAGAAGGGTATGTGGTTTGCCTTCCCATGACAGTTCTGCATTATGACAGCACTGTCAAAATGGAAGTACGACTCCACATTTTTGAAGGAACCCTATTCAGAAACTCCTGTCAGAAATGCAGAGCTCCCTTCTTTCACAAAAAGGCCAAAATGACAATCTCTCACAGCTTGAGAAAGTCCGGTCCCTTATCTACTTGCTAACATGGAGACAAACAAATCCATCTTTCTCTTTTCAGAGTTTTTGATCATGTCCATTTGAATGAAAGTTGAGAATAACTATTTAATCAAGACTTTAAACCTGATTTAAAGTATGTTACTCATTCTGTCGATTAATCAGTTTTATTTCTGTCTTACATCTGTTTCTTAACTAGGATTCATTTGTAATTTTCAGCCCAAATTGTAGGTTAGGTAAAACTTTATTTTTGTTGTAAGATAAATCCTGACCACTGCTTATCAGATCATATGAGCTATTTCATAGATTTGCTAGCATCATCCGCTTTCCCCGTTTAGGATCAACAGGGCCTGCTTGGGCTAGTGTGTTAGAAGAAAACAAGAGGATGGTCTTGTCTTAAATAAGACTGAATAAACAAGCTTATTGCATACCAGCAAATATGAAGAAGCTACACTGATATGATAGACATTCGAAATGCCTGAAAATGTGGATAGGGCAGGTTCAATTGGGGTATTCAAGAGGGCATTGGATGGTTATTTGGATAGTAATGGCATGCGTGGATATGGGGAAAAGGCAGGAAATTAACAGTAGGTAACAGACCAGGTGCAGGCACAATGGCTCATGCAGCGCCTTTTTGCACTGTAACAATTCTATGATCTTTGATTGTTGTGAAGATTATGAGGGAGACCCAATTGGTAGGTTTTCAAGATCCTAAACTCTCCCAACAAGTTCAGCTGGCATCAGTCGGGGAGTGTCAGAAGCACGATTTTCAGCAATAACTCTTTCAGACCCTTATTTCTTCCCTGCAACAATTTTCAATTAATTTCAGAGGTGAAATTAGGAGTTATTCAGTTCATTCGTACCGCTTGCATTGTGCATGCCATCGTTTGCCCCAGCAACTCAGAATCATAATTACTTGATGCATCAGATTAAGTTCAAGTGGATCAAGCATTTTTTAGGCTCCAAAGCAAAATTTTGTATTGGTACACACTAAAAGCAAAATGACTTGACATGAGTTCAAATCAATGTGTGGTTTTCTGAATATGAGCACAGAGAAAACACAAATAATTTACATGAATTTATACATGGAGTACAGGACCCAAAACAAATTGTGCTTTTTTTTTTTAAGAAATGAACCTTTGACTACTTTCTTCCAATGGTTCCTTAAGCAAAATCTTCGCTTTTGACAGAAAGTGTTCCTTACTGCCCACCTCACTATTTCCTTTCAAACGTGAAGAATACTGTCTGACAGCGAGGATAATAATTTAAAATACTGCCTAAATTTTAAAGACAATGTGTGATTTTACATCCAAATAACTCATTAAACCGCACTCCAATTTCTGGAGATAAAATCATGGAATTCCTAAGTGTGGAAGCAGGCCATCCGGGCTATCGGGTTACATCGACTCTCCAAAGAGCATCCCATCCAGACCTGAAGCCCCTACCCTATCCCTGTAACCTTGTTTTTCCCATGGCTAATCCACCGAGCCTGCACATCTCTGAACACTACGGGCAATTTAGCTTGGCCTATCCACCTAACTTGCACATCTTTGGACTATGGAGAGGATTTATTCAAGCCAACAGCAAATATTCAATAAGTTTTACACAATTAATTACTTCCATTTTGGCTACAGTTGTGTGGGTGTATGCTGAATAAGTAACACAAGCTTCAGGATTGCTGAATAACCATCACAAGATATGACAGCAGCCAGGCATTGGATATTCAAAACTTTTTTTAAAATTCAATGGTCAGCCTGGGTTTACATTGGATTTTCAAGTAAATTGGGGGAGAACATTTTCAACTCAAGAAAGACTGCAGCAAACAGTGATCAAGAAAAGATCGAATACTCCCAGACTAGTAGACAGGTCACACCATAATCGGATCATTTTAACAAAGTTGATGCTATTCTGAACATTTGGCCTGGAGGTGTAGTTGAAAAAAAGAGCTTGTGAAAAGGTTGCATTGTGCCAATGAAAAGCACTGCCACTCCTCTGCTTCAGTCTTGTGATGAATTGCATAAATCACAGGCTCTTTGGTGTTTTCAACATGCAGTATCCCTCTTCAAATAGTGCTAAATCTAAACCACAACCTGTTGCCTTGTGTCTCACCATTATAATACTGTTAGGAGACTTAATCATATATCTCTAGTGTATCATAGCACGTGACCCGAGAGT